GATGCATTTGGAGAGGAGGGCATGCAAGTCATAAGTATCCAGGGTCACTTTTGCTTTGTACAATGATTTTTTTGTTTGTTTTAATGAGAAAAGGGGAAAAGACTTAAGTGTAGTCCTACTTTATATTCTTTTCAAATAATTGTTTCACAAAGAGTATCTTTAACCTTGTTTTTATTTAATTTACTTCGGTAAGGGGATAGAAAATATAAATACACAAATTCAACATAAACCAGTACTTAATTTCAAGGATAAGTTGTTATCTGGGGGATGTTCCATTCATATAGTAAAAGAATTCTTATAAACACTGGTATAAAACAACGATGTGAGAACAACCCATGTTTGACTTTGCTCAGTATCTCAAGTATGTTTTTGTAACCTATCACTTTAATTCATTACTCATCCCATCTACTGCCATTTATTTAATAACTTACCACATTAAGATATTTGGTAGGTGAGGCTCGGGTTTATGGCTCACATGTGCTGCTTTGTCTTTCTTCCAGACCTTTGATGAATGTGTAGCTGAGGGCGGCTCAGACTGTGCTCCAGAGAAGCTCTGGCTTCAAATCCCATTCTTCTGTGGCCACAGCTCGGAATGCTGGTAGGGAGATAAAGCTAGCTTCAATCAGTAATCTATTTATTATCTCTATAATCTTTATTTCACAAGGGTGAGTATGTTAGTCAAGGACTAGGTGTAAGGAAGTTCGTGAAAGACCAGACCAAAAATAACATGTAATTAAGTAATACCTAGTTTTTAGTTACCTTCAAGTGCATTAAAAAGATTCTTCATGTAAAACATGCTTGCAATGATTTCTCAGATGCTGGTTTTTAAATTTTTTTGTTTTTGGTGTTATGTGTCTTGCTATGTTCTAGCAGTGGTCTTAATTAGAGGTCAGGGGTCCTTTCATAAACCTCATTTTCTCCTAAGCTTATTGTTTGAGCCATCCATTTTAGATCAAGAAGAGGCTTAGTGGGTAAATTATTCACCTGGATTTACTGTTAAACTGATTTAACTTTGAAAGAAGCCAAGGTAAAATAAAGATATTTTATCTTGAATAGAGTTTATTTCATCAGAATGTGCTGAGTTTTCAGTTTAAAAAAATAATAGTACATATTTGTTCTAATCAATCATTTTAATAGGAAAAGTAGAAAAAAACAGGAACACATTCAAAGTTAGTAGCTTCCTTAAAACCATGAGCGATATAAGGAATGCCTTCTGTTCTTTCCATCATTATTTGAGATACGGTATTAGATTACTGTGAACCTTAAGGTCCTACTCAATAGATTGTATCAATGCATAATACAGTTGACCCTTTGAACAGCACAGGTTTGAACTTCGCGGGTCCACTGCAATGCAGATTTTTTTAAATAAAGATGTATTACAGGACTACATGATCCGTGGTTGGCTGAATCCTCGAATGTGGAGCTGGGGATATGGCGGGCTGACTGTAAAGTTATATGCAGATTTTCAAGTGGGGAATGGGGGATCGGGTCTTGTTGGCACCCCTAAATGCTCGTGTTATTCAAAGGTCAACTGTAATAATGTAAGAATTCGAAGCTTAGAAAGAATGTCTTCTCAATTTTTAATCATTTCCTTACAACAGGGATCAGTAGATTACAACCCAGACACCAAATTTGGCCCATCACCTGTTTTTATAAATAGTTTTATTGGAAGACAACCACATCTATTTATTTACTTATTGTCTGTGGCTGTTTTCACACTGCAAGAGCAGAGTTAAGTAACCAAGTGACCAAGACCATATGACCTGCAGACCCATCTCCGGCTTTACTCTCTGGCTCTTTAGAGGAAAGGTTGCCACCCCTACCTTAGAGCAATAGAGAGTATATCTCTCCATTGGGCATTACTGAGGAGATTTTAATCACACTTCTTTAGTATGCCTCCTCGATTCATAGAACTGGGAGGCACCTGAGAAATCAACTCGTTTGCTTCCCCAGCTTCCCACCACCCACGCCAGCTTTTTAATGGCTGAGAAAATGAGCTCAGAAAGGTGAAGTCATCAGCTCAATATCACACTGCTTAAAGGCAGAGCTTGGCATTAGGGTTAGGGAATGTCAGTGCTAAAAAGAACCCAAAGGCATAGTTTATTTAGGGCCAAACCTCTATTAACAACCATTAGGTAAAAACGTGAAAAATAAAAATAAAAGATTCTTAGCAGAGCCATTTCTTATCCTATTTCTGTTTTTAAGAAATATCAGAAAAACCTAAACTCATAAATTAAATGAAGATAATCGCTACACAAAATTGATCAGACCTTCCTAGAGAGCTCTTAAAATGAACAAAGTTTAGAGTACAGTTGACCCTGGAACAAGGCAGGGGTTAATGCCGGTATAATTTATAGTTGGTCCTTTGTATCCACGGTTCCTTCGATCTGCAGATTCAACCAACCATGGTCCATGTAGTGCTGTAGTATCTACTATTGAAAGATATTTGTGCAGGTCAAACCCATGTTGTTCAAGGGACAACTGTAGTTAACAAAAATTAAATGCACTCATACTAAATCAGATGGAAGGATATGTATACACATTTCTTAACTGTTCAAATTAAGTGTCCTCTACGAAAATCTGAGTCAGCCCTGCATAGTTGAGCAGAAACTGGGGACAGAAGCAAAGGAAATTAGAGACAGGTGTGCCTCCCAAAGGACATTAATAAAAGGGCATTAAGGCTTTGGATGGACATGTGTTTATGTTTTTTTCCATAATATACAGTGTCAAAGGCATCAAAAATATTTAGCAGATTTCACAACCAATTTTTTTGTTCCTTTTTTTTGGTTTTAGGAATGTAGGAAGCAGGTGGGCTATGGATCAAGCCAAATATAACCTAGTTAATGAGTACTTTCTGGTGGGAGTTACTGAAGAGCTTGAAGATTTTATCATGTTATTGGAGGCAGCTTTGCCCCGGTTCTTCAGGGGTGCTACAGAGCTCTATCGTACAGGTATATAAGGATGGGTTTCTTTTTCAAGCTGTCCTTAACTTTGTTTGCCACTTGCAAAATATGTGTGATTTGAAGTTTGTTGAATAAAACTCCAGAAAGGCAGGTACATTGTCTGTTTCTACTCACCATTTTCAATACAAAACAGTACATGGCACACAGATGGTATTCATTAAATATTTGTTTAATGAATAAACATGCATGAGATTATAATTAAAAGGCATTGTAGGGCTTCCCTGGTGGCGCAGTGGTTGAGAGTCCGCCTGCCGATGCAGGGGATACGGGTTCGTGCCCCGGTCTGGGAAGATCCCACATGCCGTGGAGCGGCTGGGCCCGTGAGCCATGGCCGTTGAGCCTGCTCGTCCGGAGCCTGTGCTCCACAATGGGAGAGGCCACAACAGTGAGAGGCCCACATACCGCAAAAAAAAAAAAAAAAAAAAAAAAAAAGGCATTGTAGGTATAGTGGAAAGTTACAAACTACAGGGCCAGCCTTAGAAATGTGTGATATTCAGTAATGCCAGCCATACATTCCACGCTTTAGACATGTCTAGTGCTATTTAGGTAGGGGTAGGATGGAGAGACTGAGTCACATTGATAATGATCCTGTGCTATGTCACAGTGCTCCTAAAAGAATGCTTCAGCAGCTGTGACAGTATTACATATCTGAAAGTGACCGTGCTGGTCCAATCTAATTCTGATTTTTTTTTTTTTTCTGTTCTTTGGTAAGATACAATCAGAGGAACTCTTCCTGGAGTATGCATGTGCCCTAGCTTTTAACACATAGGTATAGAGAATAGGTTATGAGAAATCAGCACTAAGTTTGAAAATAGGTATTTTATCATGTCTTTAAAAACAAACTAGTCAGAGCACCAAGCATTTGAGAATACAGCATGTAAGGTGACAGCCTACACTTTACCAAGTGGCCATTCTTACTTTTTTTAAAATAAATTTATTTTTGGCTGCATTGGGTCTTCGTTGCTGTGCGCGGGCTTTCTCTAGTTGTGGCGAGCGGTGGCTGCTCTTCGTTGCGGTGTGCGGGCTTCTCATTGCAGTGGCTCCTCTTGTTGCGGAGCACGGGCTCTAGATGCGCGGGCTTCAGTAGTTGTGGAACATGGGCTTAGTTGCTCTGCAGCATGTGGGGTCTTCCCGGACCAGGGCTCGAACCCATGTCCCCTCCATTGGCAGGCGGATTCCCAACTACTGCGCCACCAGGGAAGTCCATGATTCTTACTTTTATTATTTGACATCTCATTGAGCCTTTAACAAGGGTAAGGATTTGCATTACAAAGGAATTAATCACAGTTCTAGTATGATAAGGGCACTGCTTTTGCCTGAATGATATTAAGACAAAACAATTATGCTCTTCCATGTGTCATATTAACTTAAACCGTCTCTTCAAATAAACAGGCATTGATCTTTTGTGTGTTCTCAGAATTTATTTACCTTTTCTCTTTTTCCTTTGTAAGTAGGAAAGAAATCTCATCTTAGGAAAACCACAGAGAAGAAACTCCCTACTAAACAAACCATTGCAAAACTACAGCAATCTGACATTTGGAAAATGGAGAATGAGTTCTATGAGTTTGCACTAGAGCAGTTCCAATTCATCAGAGCCCATGCTGTACGAGAAAAAGATGGAGACCTCTACATCCTTGCACAGAACTTTTTCTATGAAAAGATTTACCCTAAATCGAACTGAGTACAAGGTGTGGCAGTTAGATTCTTGAACTACAACTTTGACCCTGTCTTCACCTTAGTTCTCAGCTCCACAACTTGGATTGCTGATGGGTGTGTAAGGTAATTTGTATTGAACTGAGTTAGGATACAGACAGTGATGTCAAGGAAGTAGATTCTGGCTGATATGTCAGTGGTCTAGGAAGTTTAAGTTTCAGCCTTTTTTTTTTTTTTTTCTGGTTAAATTTTGGTGGGAGTTATAACCTCCTGCCTGAACAAAACCTACACATCACCTAAAGTAAACACATAGCAGGTCTAATTGAAGGCTAAATAATGAAATACAATTTCAGAAAAAGTTCTGATACTCTGTTTTTGATAAAGCATTTTTTTTTCAGCTAACCATGAATGAAGATGAATGCATCTGCTACTTACACCTTCACCTGGAGGTTTGGGTTATACACCTCTACTGGATAGTGTTATTAACTGTTTGGCGGTGTGTACTTTGTTTTTGTGAATCACGTCCCATGAAATTTATTGAAATGTTTGATCACTTTCGCTAAGACTGTATCTGCTGTAGTTGGAACTGCCCATATTTATGTAGGTCATTTTAATTTTCTTTAAAAAATGATTATTAGTGTTAAAAATCAATTTAAACCATTACTAATACTGTAAAAAGAATCAAAGCAGTATTTCTCATTCCTGTCTCCCCAATATCTAAGATTGGGGAAACACTTCAAAGAATGTTGACATTGCCTGAAGTTTTGGTTAAGGCTTCCACACATTAATATCAAAAAAGTAAGTTTAGTATTTGTTTCTCCATGGGTTATTTGTAAAGGTGTAAACTGAGGTATTGGTGAGTCCATATTATAACTCCATTTAGTGAGCTGTGGTATGGGTAGGATTTTCCTACTTCTTCTGTACTTTTACTTGTAGACTATTTTTACTAAGGTGCTTTATAATGTGTTTTAAAGCATTGCATTTACAAAAAAATGGAAAATGCTGTAAATATTGCATATTTTATGTATTTGGACCAAAAGATTATAAGTAATTTTAGTGAGCTGTGGTATGGGTAGGATTTTCCTACTTCTTCTGTACTTTTACTTGTAGACTATTTTTACTAAGGTGCTTTATAATGTGTTTTAAAGCATTGCATTTACAAAAAAAATGGAAAATGCTGTAAATATTGCATATTTTATGTATTTGGACCAAAAGATTATAAGTAATTAGACAAAAGTGGTTTTGCACCAATTTTATTATGTCAAGTAAAACCATCAGACCTACTGTTCTTGTATTTCTCATTTAACTTTACTGTTAAGACATCACTGCAGTGAACTTCAATAACCTTTCAATTTTGATACACAGTACATTATTCATAATTGGGGGCAGTAGTTATAGTGGAAAGAGTACTGGATGAGGAGTCAGAAAACTTGATTTCTTGTCCTGGCTCTGCCACTTACCAGCTGTGTGATCTTGGGCAAGTCACTTAATCGCTCTCTGCCTCAGTTTCCTCATCCTGCAGTGAGGATGATAATACCTGTCCTACCTACCTCACAGGGGTGTTGTGAGGATTAAATGAGATGGCATGTGAAAGCACTTTGAAACTGTAAGGCGCTATATAAATGTAAGGTATTATGGAAACATCTTTAACATATAGTTTCATACCATTCGTTTTTTAACAAAGAAAGAGAAGAGTCCACCTATAAGCTGGTTGAAAAAACAGTTAATCTCTTGATATAAATTTGTGTTTAATAAATATCTTCTCAGTGTTTTATCTTCCCTGTTTCAACAACTATTGAAATTTTGAAACACCTGTGAACTCTTACAGTTTCCTGAGCAGCTGCTTGAGTTCAGGAGGTTCCCTGTTTGGAAAAAGATTTCATTAGCTGACTCAGGGCAAGGGAAAATTTGCTCTTCAAATTTGGAAGATTTTTCTGTTTTTATTTTACATTACCGTTCAGAAAGGGTAGCTATTTTATACCTCTGGTGTTTAAGGTATACTTTGCAGAGTTTGATTTCCCTGTGCATTCTTTACCTTCTTCCACTTCTTAGAGTAGCAGAGATAAAGAATTTTAGAAACATTTTCTAAAAGGATAATCTTTAATATGTTTAGTTTAAATAAATATCCCCGAACAAGGTATCACCAAACTATGTAAGCATTTTAGTCAGGTGGCTTTAAAGGTTGTTAATTGCATAGAAGGAGGGGGGAGCGCTACTTATCAAAAGACATTTATAGACACATTTAAAGAAAAGCTGAAGGAAGTTGACAGAAAGTCATTGTAGCACCCTTTCCCCCCAGTAATAGGACAATATTAAGGGAATATCAACAGGCATACTTTTCTTACTTGGCTTTCTTTTTGGTGTATTTAATACCTTTTATAGGTATTTGTTGAGAATATATACAAATGATTTCCTTGCCCGAAGTAAAGCACCGCCTCAGGATGGGGCATCTGACATTTGTCTGCTAAAGAACCCTAGTATGCAGGTTATTCTTGGAGTCCAGCTAAAATCCTCTTGAGGTGCATCAACTCTTTTCGGTAACTAGAGTAGCACATAGTGCACTAGGTCTGGGGTCAGTGAACTTTTCCTATAAAGGTTCAGAGAGTAAATACTATTTTAGGCTTTGCACACCATTGGTCTCCATCACAACTACTCAACTCTGCCATACTAGTACAAAAGCAGTCATAGACAACACATAAATGAGTGAGCATGGCTGTGTCCCAATAAAACTTTATTACTGAAACAGGTGACATGCCAGATATGGACCATGGGTTGTACTTTACAAACCCCTGTAACAGATTATTATTTATGGAGAAATCACTTTTGAATCTGTACTCTAGTGGCCTAAAAGAGTTTATATACTTCCCAAAACTAACTTCTATCCAAAGAATAGCTTTCTGATTCAGGCAGTCTCTCCCGCGGTTTCATAAACTTTTACGACTTCGATTGTTTCCAGGTGGGCGTGTTTTCTTTCCCGGTTTAACAGTTCAGAATAGGGGCATTTGTGCTATCATCTTTTAGGGTGGGTTAAAAGTATCCTTCCTGGAGACTGAGGAAGGGTTAGATTTAATTCCATGTGGTCCAGTACAGTCCTAGGAATCTGACAAGTGCAGAGTCCTTATAATACCTAACTTTATAATCAAATAAATAGAACCACTGAGACGATAATGTATTTTTTTAAAGTGGCAAATGTGGTTTTCTTTTTTCAGCCTTTGTGCTTTTTCAGTATTTTGAACATAGGGAAAAAAATTTTTTTTATAATACAAAAGCAAATTAACCACTTTGAATTTTAAAAGATAATGTTATATGTGTATGTGTACATATATATATCTATATATGTTTATTTCCTAAAAGAGGAAAATGTACCTTTTTGTTCAACTTGTATCAACTCCCATTTTCTAATTGCTGTGAAATGGCAACTGTTGATAAATTATTGTGACTGTTTTAAAATGTAATGGGGAGGATATATTTTGATTTTACCCAACTTTAATCTGTAAAGTATCACTTAAATATATCTGATAGCAACACTTAAAATATTGCATGGGGATTACTTTTCTATCATCCATACGCATTTGTGCAACTTTGAACATATTGGGTGATTCTGAATTCCTGATGATTGGATTTAAATTACTGAAAATCGGAGAAAAACTTACTGACTTTTAAACTTTGCATTTTATTTTTTATTCTTAAAATTCAATTAATGCCTATAATTTGAAGTCCACTGTTGCTTTCTCAATATTATGTCCTATCAGAGATTCCTAAAATTGTTTGTGCCATCAGTGATTTACAAACAGTATTTTGATATTGCAGATGATTTGCTCATTGTATTTGCATAGTTAGAAAGAAAATAGTTTGTAGACAATGATTCTCTTTTTCTAATAAAATGAAATAAAACTTCTAAAAGCACTAAAGAATTTAACTAAAGGCTGGTTCCCAAATGCATAGCTGGTATTTTAATTTACATTCAAATTCTACATAGAGAACATCTGTGTAAACCATCTCTCTGGGTTTTCCCATTGATCATTCTCAAACACACCTATGGTCCTAGAATCCTTTATTATGAGAATCACCCGGTATTGTAACCTTTTATGAAGTTTGTCTTTAAGAGGCCCAGGTGCTTCCACTTCATGAGTTGAAAATTTGACTCTTCATAAATTAGTGCTATTTGCTTTGAGAGGAAGCAAGGCAATTGCTGTTAAATTTTTGCATGCATTTATGCTATGCAAAGCTGCTGGATGATGCCAACTAAACTACTGCTCAGGCAGCCTTTTGAGGGAAAAAGCAACCCTGTTTCAGATGCACTGCCAATTCAGCTCCTCTGGAGTGGAGCTTGCTTTCTGATTTCCTGGAGTGGGAGTTTTAAAGAATGAAATGGGCTATCAGTTAGATTTATTCTACAGTTTAAGTTCATGCAGCTTTGTGACCTTTCCAGTACTATTTATAAAAGGACCCTGATGGTGATGATCTCTTTAAAACACATCACTGGTAAGCCTATGGTTTAGACATACTGGTCCTGTCTTATTTTTCAGACAGCTTCTTTAGCTTTCTATTGAGAGTCAGGTGTATGAGCATCTGTAAAGCAGTGTCAAATGTAATTTTGGCAAACATGGATTGTATATTTTGACTTTTATTTTATAAGTACACAGACAGCTGAAGAGTGCCTTTTTTCCTCACAATCCATGTTGGAAGATGCTCACTCCTTTCTCTGTCTCTGCTTTCTCTTCTCTCCCCTTCCCCTGTTCAGTTGATTCATTTATGCAATACTGTTTCCAACTTGAAACCATTTTGTCACATCTGTTGGAGAGATAATCACTCCTTTTCCTTAACATTCTGCCAGCTTTCTGTTGTTGAAGTGTTTCAATTGATTACCTGATGCAAAAGCTATAAAATAAACACTCAGTGGGAAGGGCAAAAATGGTTTGGTGTCCTGTTTTAATATTTTCTTCCGCAGCCTTGACGCTGAAGGATGTTTTCCAAGTGGACTCAGTGTTCAGCGTCATCAACTTAACCCTCAGATATCACTGCCACCAGAGAGGTACGCATCATCACTGGTCTGTCGTGGTTTTCTGGCTTATTTGTGACTTGCAGACTGACAGGCCTTTGCTGCTTTTTGCTTTGTACTCCACCAGTGGCAGTGAAATTTCAGATAGAAGGTTTACAAGGTATACTTAGGATATACTCTTAATTAGAATTAAAAAGGAAATGAGGAAAGGGCTATCAACTTAGAATAAAAAGGAAATTTGAAAGAAAAAAGTTAATCTGATTAACATTTATTGCACAGTTTAGACACGTCCATAATAGTTCTTTGAGAATACACATTTCTGATAATTATGCTTTTCACCCTTAAAGGAGAGACTCTCAATTAACATAGATTTCCAGTTCTCGGCCACTGACTCATTGTTCTAAGCAAGTATCGTATGATATTGGGTTGAATAAAATACCAGTTCAGTGGTACATTGTCTAAACAGGGAATTTGGTCTGTACCCACAGAGGCAGAACAGAGAGCATGGATTTGAGAGTCAAATGGACCTGCATTTAGCAGTGTGACTTCAGTCAGTGGAGAGAACAGTATCATTGTAAAGGTGGGACAAGGTAGATACAAAGTGCTGGCCCAGGGTAGACTAATAACTGGTAGCTTTTATAGGCTGGGTTAGACTATTGTCAGGAAGCTGACCTGCCCTGCTGACCCTGCTGAATACTGGTTGTCACTTTAGAGAAGATGTTTTTATAAATATTTTTGAATACCACTGAATTTTACTTTTTTACTGATAACCTACCAATGCCTTTTACTTACATCA